ACCAGTTCAACAGAAGTTATTACAGGCTGCAGCTATTTTTGAGCTTTTTTTAATCTGGAAAAAATGTAGCAACGTATAGACAGAAATACATGAGCAGAATTTACAGCTGCTTTGCATGTGCTTTTTAAAAAGGAGAAAAAGATTTTTACACTGTTCAGCTGAAAGTAGAGACAATCTTAAATATTCATGTGGAAAAACTGGAAGACAAGCGCAGACATGAACGAATAAGCAGTGCATCCTGTTGCATAGGGTAAGAACATGTAGAACATTGGTCTGCCAATAATAATCAAAGATGATGCCATTAGGAAGAGGAGGTGAAAAAAAATTGGGTGAGGAGAAATTATTTGTTTTTATGGCTAGTACAGTGGTGCTGATAGGAAGGTCAGGTCCTAACCTGGGGCTAAAATTCAAGTGTGTTAGAGAGCTTAAATGTCTGTTTTTTCCCTTTGGATTTGTTTCTGCTTTTGTTGGACTATGCAGGGCTTTTGCATCAAGTTCAACAGAACTAGAATGGCATTTGTCCTTTTTGCTTATGTATGAACTGGTAGGGTTCTTCCTACATTTAAAATTTGGTTTTGGTCTATGTTTGTTGAGAATAGTACCTTTCCAGTTCCTTTTCCAAGACATGGAGGAATCTCAGCTCTGTGTGCACATGCACACACATACTTTACTAAAACTATAGAGAGGAAAGCAGCCTAAGGATCTAAGGTTGATTTTAAAATCATTGTGGGACCAATAAGCTGCTGCTATTCTTGGTGTGCTCATATTTCACTAGTGTTGAAAGTACAGTGAGAAGTTATGGAAGTGGAAAGCAGAATTAAGTTTACTGGCAAAATGAAAACTTTCCATAAAGGTTTTAGACAGCTTTATTTACTTTGTTTACTGTAACATAGTCTCTTAAAACAGGTGGCCTGATATCGAAAAAACATCACCTGAGGAGAAGCTTCCAAAGAATCACTTCTTCAGAAGTGTCTTGTGTAGTTTGTTTGCCAAGTATTTTTCACTGTTGGCTGATGCGCGTTCAGTGGCTGTACAGGTCACACATTTACAGTTTTCTTAGATGTATTTATTGTGATAGTTCTTTCTGTCCACTTTTGTCATTAGCTTATTCTTGAAATTGCTATGAGCTAAAAGTAATCATAGCAAACAATCCCGTTTTCTTAACGTTATGAAGGTATCTTTGTTATTTTGTTTGACTAATAAGGAATGCTTTCTTTCAGGAAAAAAAATGTATGGCTTTTGTACATGAGATGCTCAGAACTTCCTTAATGTACCTGTGAAACTCTTCAGATTTAAAAGCTCCCTGCTTCCTTTTTTATACTGCAAACGATACATATGTATTCATGTATATTTTCATATACCAATAAAGTCATAACAAAGCTGTTACAGAGCAAAAGGAAGTTATGCGTGCATTCTACAAATGCATTTTGTTCTTGACAGCTCTATTTTACATTTGGTGCTTGAATAATAAGATTAGCAGAAATAATATATTGATTTATCTTGTATTTCTGAAGAGTTTCTGTGGCAGTGAAAGATCATTTCTTACACTACTAAAGCCATCTCAGCAGTGACTGCCTGGTTCAGACCTCCTTTTGCTGATACAACTGCTGATTTCGGTAGTTTATATGGTAAAGAGGTTGTTAATGGTCTCGGTAAGAGTTGGAAGAAACTGAGTGTATTTTAGCCTTATGTCAGATTTCAGGCTCAGCACTGTTTTGTATGTGAATGAACTGATGGAGGATTAAACCTCAGTCACGTTTGTACCTGAGCATGCCGTTTAGCCTCGGATACAGTCTTGAAGCATAAGTCATTGGTTACTTCACCTCCTCTGCAGTCAGTGTTGTGAAGTCATGGAATAGCTTAATCTGTTGCTGAGTTAATGAGCTCCTTTACTTTGAGTTCTAGCTCAGCTAATATAAACGTATGTACTTTTTATTTGAAATTTGATGAAACAATACTGTTTTCTACTAGGCAACTGGTCTGTCTGTAGGTGGTGATGAGGACAGTCACAGGAAACATTGTCCCTTCCTGCCTCACTGTTTTCCTTCTACTAATATTGAGGTCAGTTGTAAAGTGATTATAACTGGGGTTGTTACTTTTCATTTGAGCAGACCTGATTTTCCTCTTCAGAACTACAGCCTAAGCTGTATGGAAGCACTGGACTTCTGTATTTAGTGCTTGTTAGAGCATATTGGAGTACAGTATTCTCATCTTTTTCATGCCTTGTGCTGATTCTTTCTGAAGCTTGCATTAGCTTGGTCTGATGTTACAGTTGTAAAATGGAAAGGGTGTTTACTGTTTTTAACTGCTTTTGAGCAGGTTCTGAGCTGCTTATTATTTTAGTATGAAATCTTTCTGAAAAGGGTGTGACAAATTGAGTGGGGAAAAAAAAGAGGTGCATTTACTACCAGATTGAGTGTATACCAATATCTTTCTACTTCATCAAAACAGTTTGCGACATTTCCGTAAGCAGATCTCTAAGACTAAGCACCTGTGTGGTGCACAGTTCTTATTTGTGAGAATTTATAGCATACTTCATTGAATTAGTACTTTTTGTGAGTTTTGGTGCAATGTGTTAGGCTTCAGAGCCTAAGATGTTCTTGTACCTGATCAGTCTAGAAGATACCTTTATGGTCTCATGTAAATAGGTTGTGACTCTGAATCCCAGCTCTAATGATAGAACATTAGTCCAGAATGAGTTTAGGGAGGATGTACTCCAGTTTATAAATGTGTTTATCCAGACACAGGGTGGAGCTGTGACCGCATCCTGTCACTTTTCGGTGTATTGTACCACTGAAGGCCTTGAGCCATACTCCCCTGCCCCCTCCCCAGGCAGAGATTTGTCACAGGCTGGCCAGTACTTCTGTTTTCTTCCCTTCTTCTCTGAAGATGCTGTGTACTACCCAGTTGCCTCATAATCTGTTTCATTTGCCTCCAGAATGGGAAATATCGGTGCTCTTCTTACACAGTCACTAGTGGATGTGCAGACTATCCTCTGTTTCTGGGAACTGTGTAAGGCTATAGTCTTTCTGCAAATAGAACTGCAGAGCTCTTCTCATTTAGTGTGAAATAGTTGTTCTTAAATTTTGCTTTATTTAAATGTCTGACTCTCAATATTCAAAAGAAGCAGTGCAGTGAATCCAATTAGTTTGCCCTAGTTCTGAGTTCAAGTCATGCAGAGGTGCTAGGTTTTGTGGCTTAATGTAACACTATGCTAGGACTTGAGAGATCTGAAAAACTTTTGATGAACCTGTGGTGAGTGACAACTTGAAATGAAACTTGAAACCATATGAATTCAGGTTTTACGTTTGAACACCTTCAGTACTTAAAAAATGCTGAGAATATGTTGGTTTGGGTTTGTTTTCTGTCTTTGTTAATAATAAAATGAACATAAGGAAGAAAAATTCTTTTCAAAAGTTCTAATAGCACTAATAGTTTTATTTTTAAGTTATTTTAAATTTCATTGAAATAATTTTTTATGGAGTTCTGTTAACTTAAAAAAAAAAACCCAAAACCAAAACCCTCTACAGAAGGTGGATTATGCTCTGTTGCTTCACATAGTTCTAGTGGAGTGGTTTGTATCACAGATGCCTTTGCTTTTGGAGAAAGGATAGCTCCTAGGCAATGCCTTCTCATGTATTACTGCAAAAACCAGTACCTTGAACTTATATATCTCTGAACTGTAAATTTTTTGCTCTTCTTTTTCTAACTGGAAGTTTTTAGTATCTTAGTCTGCCTCATGTCTGCAAAATTAGTTTCAATAGCTTTACTAGTTTTAGTTGAGAGAATATACCATACTTGTCTCCCTCCCTAGTTGGATGCATAGGGTACACATGAGTAATTTTACATGAGTAAATAGTAAATTGTTTTTGTAATCAGTGCTCATCTGATGAGTTTCTTGTCTGTCATGCTAAGAAAACCTCCTGTTGTCTGTGGAGACACGGAAAGGAAACAAAGCAATTTAAAATCCTTTTTTATACTCCCTACGTAGCATTTAGGAAATAAGACACTCAAATAGCTGGATTTGATTAATGGTATTTCCGTTATTTTGAAGTACAGTATGCCACATGTGACTATAATTTGTATTCCTAGGTCCTTTGACACAAGTATGACTTCAGCCTAACTTCAGTTATGACTGGTTTTAATCTTGTGGGTTGTGGGTCATCTTCCCCCCGCACCACCCCTCAATTGAAGAAGCTAGGCTGGTACCAACAGTAGAACCTTGAAGTTCTCTAAAAATACACTTTCAGTGTTATGGTTATTTAACCTAACATAGCACAGCTATGTTTTTATATTTTGCTAGCTTCCTAGAGCAGAAACCTTCATGTGTGTATATAAATATATATTTTTTTCTTACAAACTACCAGTATAATTTTCCTGTCAATATTCAAGTGTCACTATTTTGATTCATTAGCAATCTGTCAATTACTACTTATGCCTGTCTTGACAGTGATGTTTGTTTTAGTTTTCCTTGATTCTCTTATTCACTTGTACACAGTGCACTTTCACAGTAGAACATGCAGTATTCCATGTTGCAGGATTTACCAATTTATTTGAGACTGATTTTAGAGAAAGCTAATATAACAGACTGTAGCTGATTGATTTAGAAGTTATGTTTGAAGATAGGAATGAGGCTGGAGTAAGAAGGGTTATCAGAAGGTTGTGTGTGGGTGGTTTTTTTTTTTCCTCCCCTCTGCAAACTGGTTATTGGAAGCAAGTCCCTTCCCAGAATTCCAGTTACTTTGGTTGATATCCATGTATAGGTAGAGATCCTTTCATGTGGCTCTCCCATTAGAGAGCTACACACAAAACGGTTTAAGTGCTAATACACACAAAAAAACATGGACTTGAGTATATAGAGAGATGTTTTGTTTAGCCATCTTGAATGTCTTTCGATATGAATTTTTAATGTATCTGAAATGTACATTCATTATCTGTACTTTTACTTATTCATTCATGTCTACTTTCTCTGGTTTTGTACTGTTTCTTCTAGGATAAGCTGGATATCTGACATTATTGTGGTGGTGTCTCCTGAAAATATTGAAACAATGAAGTCTATCACTGAAAAATATGGCCACAAAAGAGTTATGATAGTAAAAGGTGGAATAACTCGTCACCGGTCAATTTTCAATGGACTGAAAGTATTTGCAGAGAATGAATTTGCCAACCATCAGCTCCAGAAACCAGAAGTAGTGATTATCCATGATGCTGTGAGACCATTTGTTGAAGAAGATATACTTTCAAAAGTGGTTATGGCTGCTAAAGAACATGGGGTATGTATTACATAGCAGTGCAATGCTCGTTATACTGTACAGTGTAAAATCATGATTGATAAATAAGGATTTTTTTCTAGACATTTTATTAATGTATTAGGCTGATTTTTAAGTAGAGCAGACTGAGAATCCCTATTATGCAGAGAGGTCAGATGGGAAGGGAGACATTGTTAAATGATGCAGGCATTATTTGCTACGGGGAATAATTATTGCCATAAAGACTCTAAGAGATTGAACTAATCAGCAATTTTTTAGTTGAAAGGTAGATTACATAATGATAGCTTACCTTTTTTTCTTTCCATTCAGGATTCACACCTAATGCTAGAATAGTTTGGTTAGTTTGGCTAATAATAGCCAAAGAGACTACTGCATTGTTTGACTTGCAAACTTTATGTGTTTTCATCTCACTTATATACAAATCCTGAATAAGTGCCAAGAGGGCTGCTTCTCTATTAATAACATTTTTTTCTAGAATCTGTAAGCATTCCAAACTGCTAGGGAAGAAAGGGGAAGTGGGAAGTCTCCAACTCTAGGTTGGAGATCCTCCTGGTTATCACTGCATCTGGGGACTGGGAATGTTCCCAGGAACCAGAAAAAATTCTGAGAAGATGATATATGAATGGATGAAGCTGGTAGAAGTTGTGTTATGCTAGTAGAGTTAGTCATCCACTAGTAACAAGAACAGCTGGTGGATAAACTGGCTAAGATAGAGACGTAAAAAATCACAACTTAGCCACAGGCTTATTTGTATAATTTGCTATCTCTACCTTCAGTTCTGCATTAATAAGATGATAAAATGCTTCCGTACTTCAAGGACATGATTTGAGGTAGAAGTCATTATTGACAGCAGATTGTTTGGGAATTAGAAAGCTAAGAAAATCTTCCACTGCTTGTCTTTTTCAGGAAATGAGGTTAAAAAATAAGCTAATAGGCAGATGATTCACAACTTTGACAGTGGAATAAAGAGTCCAAAGAATGAATTTTGGTATTTCCTTAGAGCTCCTCCACCTTTTTTTTTTTTTGAAAGCTCATAATGTAGTAGGGGAACGGATGACTTGTTAATTTAATATTAACAAGAAATATTTTATGTAAGGTCTTTCAGAACGTTATGTTAGAAATCTAAATATACTGAGCTGCTTAATAGTAGACCTGTACTTTTCTAGATTGGCTTAATGGGAAATGGCAATAATATAGAAACTGTGCTCTGTAGTTTTCAGTGGTACAGAGTGTGTTTCCAGTCATTAAAAATTAACTTCCGTTAGAATTTTAACAAGGTTTTTGACCTTTCTCATATAGCACAAAATAGCATTCCAGTATTGATTCTCTGCCAATGACTTTAAAAAAGGATCTCCCCTCTGTAAATCTATTTTAAATGCTCTGCCAATGACTTTAAAAAAGGATCCCCTCTGTAAATCTATTTTAAATGTGATTCTTTGAGAGTAGCAGAAGAACAGGGTTAATTGTATTGAAGTTGTATTGAAATTAGAATGTTTTATGAATGCATTTGTGTTTAGGTGTCTTTGCATGTTATGGTATATCATATCTCATTTGTGTTCTAAGTTTTTTTGACTTGTTTGCTTTTTCTTGAAACCTGTGTGATTTTAATGTTACATTTTTTCCTGGTTTTCTTTTTAATTGGGTGTAAGACATTTTCATTTAAACAGTAGGGAACCAAGGCAATCTCCATTGACCTTCTCTATGCAGTGTACTTCAGTTTGTCTGAATTTCTGGCTGCTAAATACTTCCCTACCCAGATCACTGAGGTGTCGTTTGATCTCAAAAAGGCACTCTTACACATTTGTCATAGTAATTTCCATTGTATAATGTCTGTCTGAAATGTGCATGGTATTTATTGGCTCTGGTGGCTTCTGGTGTTGGGTTAGATCCACTGAACTCATTGAGACTAGGCCATCAGAGAAGTGGACTCCAAAAGCTGTTCACTATTAATCTTACCTGACAAAGTAATTGAATTAAGGAACATGAGAAGAACTTCGGAAAAACTTCCTGCCAGAGAGAGGTGGCTGTCTTTGCTTAACAGCTACAGAATTCTGAAGAACTGAATGAGTGGAAAGCTAAGACCCTTTCAAAACTGACATGCATGGTTTTGAATATCAGAAAAAAATTTGATCTAGAGAAGCTATCATCTTTAGTTCTTCCTATACTCAGATTCTTTGCATATCTAAAAGGGAGTCAATTCTTCAATCTTTCAGTACAAAAAGTAATTACTTCCTTTTGCATTGTGTAGAAAAGTACAAAACCAGGCAGAAACATCATATTAAATCACCAGTGTAATAGGGGTAATGCTGTATTGTTGTTCATCTGCATACCATATAGATAGCATAATTATGAGAAGCTTTAATGTTCTTTTAAAATGGCAATTGATGAAGTAAGTTACTGCACTTCTAGCTGCCAATTGTCAGACAAATAAACTGCTTTATTACACTTACTAATCAGTTTGTTATTTGCCTGTAGGAATCAAAATGTGCACCTTATCCAGAACTAATAAATTATTCCTTAAATCCCCCAAACAATCCCTTGAAAATGTGAAAATATTACTTTGTAACCAATTAAATTCCATTTATGTTTTTGGGGTAATTTTGTAATTAAAATTACATGTTTCTAGAAACAAATTCTTTATTGCTAGTAAAAGCTGGGAAAAGTGGAAGCTTCAGAAGGCATCAGTCCAAAGCCTCTAGCACTATCTCATTGCCAACATTGCGTTTTAAACAACATAACTAATAAGGAAAATACTTACAAGAAAAAAAAAATCAGGAAGGCAGGGGGGAACTTGTCAGCTCTGCTATTGTGAGTTAGAAAAAAAGGGCACATACAGTCAAAGACTCTTTCTGCAGTTAACATAAACTAGGTCTGAAAGTACATTTTATTTCTTTGAAAGAATTGAATGAAAAAGGCATTCTGAAAAGCTGGTTTCTGGGAGCTGTCTAACATCATTACTTTATTCTCAGCTTTAGCAAGGATCTGAAAAAAACGTACATGCCCGTTGAGATGTACAGTGCTACTCAGTTTTATGGACTCTTATTCACATACAGAATCAGGCAAAATAATACTACCAGACTGAAAGCACTATATATTATGCTCAGTCTGTTCTCTGAATGTGTGAAGAAATCAAGCATGGTTTTGCTGCTGCATGGAAAATAGTTATACAATGCATTATTCTTTTTTTAACTCTGTAGTAATGGATGACTGTACGTATTGATGTTTCCATAGCTGATGGCATTACTGGGCCCATAGAAAGTTATGACCTTCTCAGCCAAGTCACTAATTGTTTTCTGTGTCGAATGGAAAACTAATGTATTGTTCGCAAATACTTGAAGTCTTTGTCCTAACAAGATGTAGTGTTTGGTGGTGGGAAGGCACTGGTAGGGGGAGAAGCAACTCTGTCATTTCCCAGTCTTAATCTAAGTGATGCAGATGATTCATTGCATTCATTGGGAAGGATGCATCTCTACCAAATGGAATACATAAATCATAGGCAGAAACCTAAAGTATAACTTCCCTTTCTTTGCAGCTTTTCTGTGTTGTACTAATAGCCATCTGTGCTCAATACAACTAGTTTTCAATCCTTTTTAAAAAGGTGACTTAATCCCACGTTTTTTAGCTTCTAGAAGTCTGCACATACAATAATTTTTACCTTACTACTGTTTTAGGTAGTATTAGATTATCCTGGAAATGAATTTTGAGCATCGTTTCCTGTACTTAAGTGGTCGCTGTGGTCATTTTTATGTAATGCCTATAAAATGTACCTCTCTTAAATTTAGAGAAGCTACATATATGACATTGCTGTTGATTTAATGCTAATTAAAATGTGTATGTTTCACCTGAGAAAACAGTATGACTTGGAAAATGAAATAGCCTTTAGCAAAGATGTGTCTGCTTTGTCACTCAGATTTCTCCTTTCTGCAGGAGATCGAAGGAGGAATAATTCCTTATAATAAGGGAAATCTCAGCTTGTCCAGCATGTGTGAGGAGCTGAATAGAGGCCTTGGATCATTTGAGCCACTTTTACATGGCAGGATCTGGAAGAGATTCTTAGCCATGTTTGGCTGCAGATTAGGCCTGCACATCTCCCTCTTTTTCACCAAATATTCAGCTGAAAAGAAATTTGAGTTTTTATCCAGGAATATTTTAGCAGAGTTTGTGATCTGGGTGGTTGTGGCAAGGACACCACCAGCCCAGCAGGTTAGGTGAAGCTTCTGAAAGCCAACTTGGCCTGTTTTGTATGCTGTAATAGTTTGCTGGACTGGTTCTGTGCTTATCCTCCTCTTTCCAAGAAGCTAAGTGGGTTATGGTCCAGATAGGACTAAACTGCCTTGAGGAGCATTGGAGCATATAGAAGACAATTCATGAGGTATCAAATTCATATATATACATATTAGAGTCACTATTTGAGCCAGGTTTGCATGGTAAGTTTTAATGATCCATTTTACAAGGCCCTTGAGAACAAAGGTCTTAGGTGAAGGTGGTATGAAGAGGTGACTTTAAATTTTGAGTCTAGTGAGCTGTAAGAGAAAGAAGCTCGGGTGGAAGGTTTCTTGCAGGAGAGGACACAAGCAGTTCTGAGAGAAGCAGCTGAGTGAATTCAGAAGACAAACACATTTGATAAGCAGGTGTGGAGTTGCTTAGGGAACTGCATGACCACAAACTATATAGTGCCTGTGGGTTTGGTTGCTCAGGGCTGTGTGTGTGGGAAAGAGAGCAGTTCTGCATTTGGTTGATTAAATTGTGCAAGAGTCCTCCTACAACACCAAGGTTTTTTTTTCTTGTTCATAATATGATGCAAATCATGTGTTTAATGATATGCAGTGGATCAGTAGCTGTCACATCATGATATCGTTGATTTTGTAATGATGCAGACTTTCTGGAGCTAAAATACAACTTCGTAACTGTAGCTGTAACTCCTGTGGCAGTAGCTTCAAGGTTTCTGCTCCACTGAATAACTCCTCTTTATATTGACTTATATGCAAAGTCCTTTGTGGCAC